ATAGACAAGGTGAGTTTGGGGTAGAAATGCAAACTGAAGTATCCAAACAAACCATCTAGGAATTTGGGTATGAGTGCATGTATAGGTAAAACCGAACAGAAACGTGATCTGTTCTACCCCTTGACACATACTGCACGCAAACGGACAAACGTTTTCGCAGACTGACGGGTGAGCAGATGTGTTTCGCATTTCACGTGTGCCCTCCAAATCAAACACCTAGAAGAAGCGCAAGTTTGTTTGTTCGTTTGTGTGTGTGTGTGTGTTTATTCTGCAAACCACATTATCAACCTTTTCTTATTTATCCACTGTATGATTCGCACCTGTACTGATATGCTAATTAACTCCACCGTGCATGCATTGAACTTGTCCGTTCTGCGTCAACAATTAGACGCATACAGGCACAACAACATACATACTGCGAATACGTGGCTGTATAGTAAGTAGTGCCAATGTGTGGTCACTCTAGATAGAGGAGAACCTAGGTAGTAAATCCATCCGACCATCCATTCATGCTGTTTGTCCGGCCGAATCACTTGAACATAAGCTTTTGATTTAACAGCTGTATATCAGGTATAATTAGACAGGTGTATAACAGTTTATTTATCAGTAACTATATGTAGATAAAAAGGTGCGAATGGGCCTGGTATAGGTGCGCTGTATTTCTTCTAATATCAGCATGTGTGGATCCATACCATAACCATATGTGATTGTTGGACGGAGTGTTTGGATACTGAAGTGTTTATGCAGTTTGGAATGAACACGTGCTTTTGGTACGAACGTAGACAAAAACTTGTTTCAAGTCTTGTTCCCGTTCGTACAGTCGTATCAACGGCAATGCAAGCTGGAATGTCTAGTCAGTTGATGGATTGTTGAAATTTATTTTATTTGCAATCTAGTGTTAAATATGTACGTTCAGCTACAAGTAATTTATTCATGTGTGTGTACAACATGTTGACAGTAATCCATTCGAGATGGTCAACCAAATAAAAATCGAGCTCCTTACGAGACGACTTTCGACCACTGCCATAAAATCTGAGAATTAGGCGAATAGCTCAGAATGCCTTGTCGGCTTTTAACGCAGAAACGTCGCCTTCGGTAATATTACGTTTCAAACCACAGGTCATCAATCGACTGTAGGTATCACGTGACCTCCAGCTTATCAAATTATTTGTGTTTCACAGGCGCGGCAAACTTAGTTTACTTGCACAATATTTTCCTGGTATGTTATTAATAACAATGGTACTGCCCGTACGACAGGAGCCCCGATTTCAACTACTACATCCAAATGCATACGTTATTGCGGCCATAGGACTAGGACACCCAAGCGTTACAAACAAAGACAATACTGGAAATGACGCAGGGAACGGAATCAGTGCTACCAAACCTCGAAGAAGAACAGTTCTGCTTCTGAAGCAGTTTGAGCTGACTTGGAGAAGGAGTGCAACAGCTTTGAATCAAGGTGGTTTGTTCATTCGTTTAGTGACAAAGAGTCACAGAACCAAAATAATCTACTACTCATCAATAACCAAAATATCGCTCAACATGTTAATGATTTCTATGATTTCAGTGTGGAGAGAAGTCCTAGTCGAGCTGTCACCTATAGGAGTTAACAGGACAGTTATTATATATTCTTTCGAGACGATACGGCAGCCTGATCATTACTCGCAGGCAAAAGAGGTTGAGCGTTCACATATGATAATTTGGCTTTGCTCAATTTGAGTTGAATGGCGCAATGGTCAACATGGTCCTTTCCTTAAAGCGTGGCTGGAGTTCTAGTCCCAACAATGGCAAGGATATGCACTACTGACGAGCTCAAACGGGGGAAAAGCTCGAGTCTAGTGTTTCTTTTCGAAGGTTTATGGAAAGTTTGTGGGAATGCGGCAGCTGCGATTAGTGGTGGATTATGTCCAATTTCCATAAAAAATACACTATCCCCTACTATCTGTCTGTTATTCATGGAGAAGTGAAATTGAAACAATCTGAGGCGATTGCAATACATTTTGAAGAAGGATAACCACTCGGAGTCACCAGTGACTAGTTGCACGTGTGACTCCCCAGAGTAGGCAGAACCACGGAACAGAGTATATCTAGGAAGTAATCCTTCGTTTTATTAGGGGTGATGCAGTACACCAAGAATCTCGCTGCTTAGCTGACAACACAAACTCTTTAGACATTGTTTTCAAACTGCATTATTTAGAAAATATGTGTATCGCGTTAAAATTTTTATAAAACATTTTAAAAAAATGAAGTTTACCCCCTTGCCATTGCCTTGGATACCAATGTTGCTTAAGCCTAACTGCTCCTGCAAGGAAGGCCACCTTTCCGATGAAACCGACCACGGTCGGTTAGTTAAATTATTTCTCCAGGAAGAATGAACCACAATAGCGACATTCACGTCTGGACTGACCTGACGCAGTGATCGAATGTAAAGTATGTCAACGTATACATATGCCTACTGCTGCACAATTTGCGATTTCACTATACATTGTGTTCAACTAAACCTGGAGGTAATAAGATCAAGTGAGTTTTAAAACATGGCCAACTGGTTAGTGAAAACTTGGGTCAAAGTGAGAGAGAACATGTCTAGAAAAAATAACCGTCACACAGACGAGTATTTTTGGAGTGAACGATGGTTTGCTGAATCATCGAGAATTGCTCTTATAAATGAATGGGAGGGATGTAATTTAGTTGACTTGCTTGCAAAATACTTATTCTCCCTTTCATTTTGGGTAAGTTGCTGGTTTGCAAGTCCCAGGTGGCCAGCGCATCCTAGAATGCAGTAGTCGCAATATCGCGGATTTACGGTAGCTCATACATCACCTCATACAAATATACATAAACACATAAATAGGCGCACCATCGTAATCCAAAATAATTCAAATGGGTTATTAAAAAAGAAAGGTTACTTTCATAGCTAAACACAAAAATCAGCTAAGTATTTGAAAGTACTTTGACTATTTGTCTGCATCTCTTCTATAATACAGGAATAGCCCAGGATCACAGCCGTTAGTTGCAATCGGTATACCAATCAGCGGATGTCGAATACAGTTTACAGACACAGGTCGATATACACCTGGATCCATTAACCACCGAACAAAAGAAGCCAGTTACTGACTGCATCATCGTTTTCGCTATTCGCCAACAGTTGTTCCCAGTCGCAGACTTCAGTAAAAGGCTACCTGCTTGGAACAATACATTACCATTGTAATAAATGCAGTCTGTTTGGTCCCGGATTGTCATGATCCGTTAAATGTTTAAGAAAATGATACTTAACAATTGGCTCTTGTTAAACCTATTAAGAAAGATGAGTCACTCAGTGCGAAGGTGAATATTAATCGCTCCAATTGAGAGTATATTTGGTCTTGGTGGACCGAACATGTATCTTAATACCTTTATGGTCTCTGGACAAAAGCAAACGGCCTTAAAATTTGAGGATCTGATTGAGAATAGGTGTTCATCGAATCGATAACAAACGTATAGAACTAATATTCAATGTTTCAGGTAGAACAAAAAGCATAGCAATGAGTCGAATCCAACCCAAACAACTGTGACTGCACGATGTCCATAAAATGCATAAAATGCACTGAACGGAACCGTAGAAAATGATCAACTGAAGGTAGATCCGTTCAGTTAGTGAAGCAAGAAATGACGATAAACAGGTCTTCATTAAAGGAGCGTAAAGATTCAACCTTAAAATTTAATATTTTCCTCAGTGAATTCCGAAGAGTAACTCAGTTTTAGAAACCCTTGCATTTCCCAGTGCCACCAACTCAGTACGCGTTTATCCATAAGAACTGGCACGTGAATTCAGCTGCTGGGCGTGTGGTCGAAACCAGCAAGCGCGCACAGGTTGAATTTGAACTGTGTATCGGGTCGTGCTGCTGTATTGTCTACATCGTTTTAGTTTTCGATTGTGTAAGTCGTGTGCATGGCTTACTGGGCCTTTCGCTCATGCTTGTTTCTTGTTGTTGCCTTTTACAGGACTGTTGCTGGAGCCCCTAATTCGGAAGAACGCTGTCCCCCCTTGTCTCCACGTTGCCCTAAAGCTGGTCCGCAGGCGTAACGGACAGTCACAAGAGAAACAGCCGGTTTGCATGTTACAGTAAACGTCAGGTATCAACACTAGCTTTCCAGAAGTAGGCTTGTCTCTGCGTTAAATCTGACAAAATGGTTGACGTTCTGGCTGCTTTTGGTTGGCAAGACGATCAATTTGCCCAGCGCATCGACTGCTTACTGATGTCTTGTTAGACGCATAGATGTGACAGTCGCTTTTGGCCTCGGTGTCGAACCCCAGCAAAATCACGAAACACCCCCTGGTGGAAGATATTTCCGGTGTTTTTGCCAAATCAATGTAGTCAGATCATTAGTCGCTGGCGTAAACCGGATCCCTTAATGGGAAAATACCAGAGGAAACCAAATTGACATGTTCCTGTTGGGCTGAGTGCTTGACGGACTGTGCTTGTAACTTACGGCCCGTTGTGCCACTAAGCGTTAACGAACCTTTTGTTATCACTGGAGCTTGTGCTTTGCGGTAAGCAGAATGAGAGCCACTAGCACCTTGTTCATGGTCCCCACCCAATGAGAGTCTGGAAAGGCCCTCCCACATGTACCTACAACCCTTTGCCTTGACCGTTATCTAGCGGATAGAACGGCGACGATTACATGTGCAAGATGCTGGTATGGTTACGAAACCTATCAGAATGTGCCGCAACAAAGCGTTTTTTGTTGTCCTATCGGAGTCAATCCGAAAGACCATGTTCGCAGGCAACGCCGCCCTCTGGACAGTTGGTTGAAACATAAGTTAGCAGAAAGATTGCCACTATTTCTGTAAACTTTAAGTGAAAGTAGACAAGACAAAAGTGAAATAATCGCCTATGGGGTCCACAAACTCGAGCTAGAGGAGGTGTAGTCATTCCAAACACAGGACATTCTACCGGTTGATAGTTTGACTGCTTGCCAACAATTCATATATTTGGAGGAGATTCATTTGCGAAAAGCCTGGGCTTCGACTGGATTCGAACCAGTGACGGAAACAACATGCCGAAACGTGGCAAATGCTGTACCAGCTGAGCTACGAAGCCACGCCCGAAGCTTCGAAATTTCATATTTGGACCTAGTTACCCACCCAAACAACTGTGTCATATCCGATGTTTTACAGCTTTGAGTAAGAACCACAGCTACTACTAGGGTTCCGCGGATGACGTATGGAAACTGGTGGTGCACGTCTTCCTCAAATGTCAAGGCCATAATATCAGTGTTCTTCTCGGTGGCGTGGTGAGCGCTGATGAGATGGGGCAGACCAAAAGACTGACCAACGACGTTTGCGAGTAACTTGTAGATCATGAAATTGTATGCCCAGAAGATTTCTGCCAACTGTCGCATTCGAATGGGGAAATAGATGGGAAAACGAACGGTGAGCAGCGACGGCTTGTGGTTTGGAACCAGGGCAGTCTACCGACCATAAAAGATTTTGCGTAGCTGCTTCACCGCAGGAATGATGGTCGATGTCTATATGTCGATATGACCACAATTTCGTGTACCTGATTGAGGGTGCGCAAACAGTCGTCAGCAGCCCTTTCAAATTTGTCTAGGAAGACGTGCGAGATTATCACACTCAGATCGCAGTTATCAGGATTAGAAGTTCGGAGGCACAATGAGTCGGCAGGCGATCAAAGTTGAAATTTTCTTTGAACAGGCAAAAGGACTCTCGTCTCCGGCACAACAGAGATTTCTTTTGATATTGGTAGATGAATAAAGCCCGGACATCATACAACATCACCAGAAAGGCACTGTAGTGATAGATGAGGACAGGATAAGACAGCAGTGTAGAAACGACTTTTACTTTCATATTATTTGGATGACACATTTGTTCTCAAGATTTAACAGGTTACTGCGATTAAGACACGACGCTCGAATACATGATACATGTAAGAGGAACTGGTGGTTTTCTGCATACAACCGAGGACCCTATTCACGAATGCGGTGGAGTACGGGGTCGAAAAATTTCTGCAACTCTTTAGTTTGGCGAGCCAGCTGTTAGTGTCATCTAGCCACGTGGCCTTATTCTGAAGGTTAGTAACCACTGCGTTGAGTGTTTGCTGGAAGGTACCGGGAACAGTTCCGGTTCTGGGCGGAAACCTGATATACTCAAACAAATCTGCTGATTCTCATTTAGTCATTCAAATTATAATCCACAGAGGATGAGGCGACTCATGTGCAGTAAGAGATAGGCACCAACAGGTGAAGTTGTTAAAACGTTTTGAGCTCCCCATCTAAAGTAGTGGGAGAAAGTAGAGTATCGGTTGTCTAGGTGACAAAACTGGTTGACTGCCAACGGAAAGCTGTAGCCTGTCTTCGGTGTAAGAGCAGACAGAATGGCAGCCTTGGGGTATAAAGCGACTACTTGAATATTTAGATTGGAATCATTCGTAGAAACGAGAGAAGACGACATCCGGACCCAGCAAACTTTCGTTGAGGGACAGACTATGTAAAGAAGCTCGATCCAATGAAGCCAGAGGGAATTGGGAGCAAATTCGGCCACGTAGCATAGTCCACCGATGGTGGTCCTTCAGACTGATAGTGGAACATGTGGTCGTCCAGTTAAGTGCGTTAACTAATCGTACGCGCTGTTTGCCACTCAAGATTGATGGGTTGGACAGCTGCTCAGGGATCGTTAGAGCATGTCAGAAGTGATCGTAATGTTTGAAGTCATGGTTATTCAAATAAAAGTCAGCGAACCCGTTGCGGTCTGCGATGCTGACCTGGATAGTGGTTAGCCGACAGCATGATCCGTCGATCGAACTCGAGTTCGCAGGATGCTTAATATTCGGACTGAGGCAGGCTTACCTCTATTAGTTGGCCGTGACTGCCAGATGGCCTCCTCGTTCTGGACTGCGTTTCACCTCTGAAAGGTATTTTGCTAAAATTAAAAGAACTTGAAGATAAGCCAAGCACCGCAGTGGGCGTATAAGGAAGTGGTTTTCTTCGAGCTTTGGAGACGCATCGAGCCGGCGATACAGGAGCTTGTAGCTTGAACGAGAAGATGGCTTGGTTCGGTCGCTCGGGTCAATTGACTCGCTGTCTCCGGTGCTTCTTGAGGATGACCAAACGTTGATGTTTGTCAGCTAATTGTCGGCGCCCGGTGTCTGGTTCATGGTTGATCTTGGTCGGAATTCTGAGGTGATATTCAATGAAGTGCTGTGACTGATGACAGTAACGGAATACCAAACATCGAGCACAGTCCTCAGTGAACAAATGAATGTGAACAGCACCCACTTAGTGCTGACTAATCTATTTTACGTAAAGAAATCGCCAACTTCTCTTTCAACCGACTGTACGCGCTGAAGATGTAGATTGAAGAGGGATGCGCTCGCTCCATTTATCTTCCCCGGTTTCTGGATAATACTCCGGGGATAATGTTGATTAGTGGCTCGGCCTTAAGAATGCAGGTAGGTTAGTGGACGTGCTCTGCACTGTTAAATTATCAGAGCAACATATAGAACTCCCACTCATCATCATGGTTTGCCAGTTGGGCGCTAACAAGGTCATCGTAACTCTTGTGCCAGAACTCATAAGAGACGCCAGTCTGGGATCAAACGTAAGGGTAGAGATGGTCATGACAACAAGACTCAAAGACGACTGATCGGCCGAAGGAGAAGTCTGTCCCAGTGAGTGGGCAGTATTTCCGTCATTCGGTCTATGCTACCATTGCCGACCTTGAATAGGAGTCAGTTAAAATGGTTTATTAAAAAAGTAAAGTCACGTCGCCAAAGATTTCAGGATCAGCATGGCCGGTAGAGACACAGATAAGACTTATTCGAGCCTTGAAAGTAACAATGTAGAACATAATGAATCGTACTTAACTGTGACATCCGGTAGGACGTATCGTTCAGAATACAGTAAGTCCATACCACACGTTACTAAGCATAAACGAGAAAAAACAATGACAGGTATTATTTTTTATAATAATGGTGTGTAAATAACAATCGGCATTTTAGAGGCTACCGCAAAACGAGATCAGCTTCGGAAAATTCGGAATCGTCCCAAAAACACAATAGCAACAGAGTTGTTTCGATCATCCGATGATAAACTTCTTAACTCTTCTCGGAACCTGGCCCTTTAGGAAAGGAAGTTGAGCTGTCGGTTGATTGCAAGCGTTATGATAAACTGGGTCGCAAGAATATTAACAGAAACTATCAACATCATCAATACGCCTGTCGTGCTCGTCACTAAACGTGGCTGTCTATAATGAAGTTATGAGCAACCGCAACAAAAGAGACAAACACAGGCCGATTCGTATAGGATAAACTTTGAATCTTGTGAACAGGAGTTGGGCAGATGAAGTGCCAATACAACCCTCAATAAGGTAGACTGAGCTGTTTGTGGATCAATAACCTATACATATCCAAGGGCTGAAATAACCTTTAGATGTTGCATGAGTCGATCAACAGGTAGAATGAACATCACCCGCTGTTGATCACAGCTGCCGCATTTTCATAAACCTTCGAAAATAAAAACACCAGACTCGAGCTTTGCTCTCATTAGAGCTTGTCAGTAGTGCCTATCCTTGTCATTGTCAGGACTAGAACTCCGGCCACGCTTTGAAGAGGTGACCATGTTGACCACTGCGCCATTCGCCTAACACTGGACGTGACAGCTGCAATCAATTGTGAATTATGTTCAGTCTATATGAAAATAAAACTCCCCTACTACTCATTGGTAATTCAACCATCAGTCAACACTATCTGAGGTTTGAAATAAAATGAGTAAGACGAGAAGCAGTTACTAGCTGGAACAAGTTTGCTCAACAATTAAGTGTTTTCAACTGAACATGTAAATTTTGCGGCTGTAACTCGATCGCATCAGAATCAAAATTTTTGATAATAGGTCCAGGGTATTGGTATAGGTTGGTGGCCCAGTTTTGTGGACACATTTCGGAAATTCACTCATACAATCCCAACCAAATATGATGTATGAAACAGGTTTCGATCGAAAAGTTCTACCTACAGTTACTGATTTGTTTTAGGAGCTGTTTAACCATAAACTCCGAATAACGCGTAAGCGACTGCCAGGTAGCTTTTCTAACGAACCAGTTAAGGATGATGGAAAAATGTTGTTTCATTAAATAGGCTGAGAAACCGAGAACGCTGTTTATTGCTTAATTGACCATAGGATTTCTATTGTGAAATTAATCTTTCAAGTCAGTCTGTAGAAGAAATCATATAACAAATTTCATTTTCCTAACACTTCAAACAGAGTTCGCTAATTAAAGCATTTGCTGGGGTTGGAAGATGCGTTTGTTGCTGAAGCAAATGTACGCGCTTGTAAATGTCATGTTTAGGTTATATTTATTTGAACCACCCTCGCCAACTACTGTACAGCTCAATTGTATGCCAGGAAGGCACACGTAATAATTGTGGCACTAAATATGACCGAAGTACTAGGTCACTGTTTGGGCTCGCATCGTGTAAATATGAGCGAAAGAGTCTGAGCCAGCCGGCTGTCAGAAGACAAAACCCGGTTGAAAATAATTAGTAACAGGTAAGTCGGAAGAACAGGCACTGACAATGGTCCTAGCTCACCGATGATCAGTGAGTGTGGTTCAACAAGACAGTATTGCACGGTTGTACACAACGTCTTGTTCGTTCCTCTACATCAGCGATTCTGGCTGGTAGCTGGAGAAATTTTCCCATAATGTGGTCTATACGAAACGGTGTTCGCTGAATCCCAAACTGTATTTTAACTACAGCCCGATTCTGGCGTTTCAGCTGTAACCGGTAGACATCCGCCATGGAGCCTGGACTTGTCTTATTTTCTTAACATGCACATGACATCAGATTTCTGTTAGTAAACTTGGTTTTAACGTATGAGCAGGCTCCTGAGTTCGGGTTAGGCATTTTTCTTTCAATGCTGCTGTAACATACTTATTTTATTTACCGTCTTCACTGGTAACCTGATGACAAAACGATTTGGTTTCCCGTTTATTTAGCAAAATGTAACGACTAATGATTTATTTGTCCCGCATTAGGCCATAACTTCTTGTGGGATTCAACATCCTGTCATGTTGACCGTTGGGATCTGT